CACCGTAGCTTTTTTTGAACAGTGATTTTGTTTACTAGATGTAGGCATTTTTCCTTCCATTTCTTTTCCTCTTTCTTCAATTTTCTTTAATTTTTTTTTTCTGTTTTATGTATTGCATTTTTCTACATTGTTGAAGTCATGTTTCTGAATTTTCTGGCATTTTTTGCAATTTTTCTGTTATGAGTATGATTCTAGGCTCACATCCTACTTGCTCTAGGCAGAGCGATTGTTTCCGAACGTGTTACTGTTGTCCTGGAATATATGCCATCTATGTCGAAAGATTATCTTACTGTATTGGCACGTCCAGCTCTTAACTCACTCACCCAACTCATTAAACAGTCCAATTTTTCACCAAGAAGTGTGCAGGTTAATTGTAGAATTTTGAAATTATCACTGTTAATTCCATATTAGCTTAATGGCTAGATGAGTTGAATAGTAATGGACATATTTGAAGTTCTTTTAATTCGTTTTACTGTTGATTTCGACTGTAGTGGAATCCTTTTAAGCATGGAGCAATCTTGGGCAAGCATACAAATTATGTGGTCATTAACAATGAAATGAAAATATTGCAGGTGGCCGCACTTCTTTCACCAGACCATGCTGTGGGTGAAACGCTGCTACTTAATCTGTTAGCGATGAATTCGAGTGAGGTGCCACTGCAATCCTACTCATTAGCATTGCATGCTCTGGCACTCCTAATCATCGAGCGCGCTGATACGAAATTAATGACCGAAGTGATAAATCGTGTTTGTATGCTGAAAACTTCCACTTTACTTCATATGTTCTGTGCTGATTTGAATCAGTTAAAACAGCTCGGCTTGCGCGACAAATTAGCCGCTGTCTTGCAACAGGCACTCGATTTTGTATGTTTATTTCCATTTTTATTCGAAAAGTGATATTGACGGTCTCTTGCTTTTCAATATGACTTTTTTTTTTTTTTTTCAATATTTCATTAAAATAATTGATTTTTAGTTTTCTTTTGAGATGAAGGATGATTGCTTAGCTGATGAATTGCTGTGGCAAAGCGTATCAACTAGCTTAATGGATTGTCAACTTAGACGTTCATTGCTAGAACGCGTGGTGAATGGTAGAAGGCTTTGTTTGGAAGGATTCTTGCTTACGTATTATCGGCAATTTCCATTACCGTCGTTTACGTTAGCTCACTGTAACTCACTGGAAAATACTACCGGAAGCTCTCACTATGATGCGTTAACAGCAGGACGTGTTTTTTTTGACCAAGGAAGAGCTATTCTAAGGTCCTTTTTACGGTTTCAGCTGAATTTAAAATTTTTTTCAGATGATATTATGATTATCGGCCCACAGAAACCAAAAATTTGGATTCATTGTTTACCTTAAACAGCAGTCTGTTGCTAATGACAATTTGTTATAATTAATTCGGCAATCCTAAAAGATGACCTTAAGAAAGCAGAATCCGTGGCAAACAAAACTGTACATGGAAATTTCAAGTTTATAAATGGTTCGTATCAAAGAAGTTTGTGGTACTTCAGTGTTGATATAGACAACGGCGTACGTGTGACAAGTCGAACGCCAGTTGGAAAACACTGCTGGTGTTTTACGCGAGAACGTACGATTAGGCGTCAAATGAATTGCGTTAATAATTGGCTGCGGAAGTTAGCACTACGGCCGAAGATCTTGTTAGAAATGACAAGCAGTAAAGGAGTAGTTGAAGATCCATTCGAAGTACGTCCCATAAACATAAACTCTTTGCTTTATGTGTTAATTGTTCCATTTTATAGTAAATTATTGAGTTGTCTCTTCATTCAAATTTTTGCAGATGTTGCCACAATTACCACGGACATTGCAAGCGGATCCAATTGAATGTAATGAAATGTATTTCTTCATTCAACAGAATAGGCGCTTAACAACGAGTGTATCTGCTTCGCGTCATCCAAAAACAACTCAGTGTTTGCCACGGGTATTAACTGAAGAGAAATTTGTCTTGTGGCGCACGCTTGCTGCTGATTTGCGGTTATTCCCAGGCACGCGACAGATTTCACCCAGTTTCAACCGCGATATCCGACATCTCGATCACACTTATTCTCGAGAGGTGCATAAAGTGGCTGTTATCTACGTTGCTAAAGGACAAGAAGTATGCTTAATAAGCTTCAAGTTTTCTTGTTAACCACATTTTTTAAGGTTAAGTTTTTTGAATTTATTTTGCCACCAAGTTATTTTAATGTGAGTTCTACTTGCTTAAAATCTAACAGGAATATTTGAAATATATATTATAGAAATGTGGAATAATTTCAAGAAAACAGAATAAGTCCGGATTCAGTTGTGAAAGTGGGAGCAGTTTTTAATTATTGCTTTTTTAGGACAAAGTCTCAGTACTTTCTAATAGTTGTGGTTCAGTAGCATTCAATGAATTCATTTTACGTTTGGGTTGGCAAGTGCAAATAGGTCATCAACATTACGGGTATAGTGGTGGCCTGCCAAGTGGTGTAAGTGCTCCATATTATGCATCTGCTGATACAGAAATTATTTTCCATGTCAGTACTATGCTCGATGGTTTGTTTCTCATTCATTTGGAGCTTTTGTAAGCTTTTTTTACAAATTTTATTTTAAGCTCTCCTTGAAATAAAATACATTTTGATATATAATACTGGATGGTAATTGTAAGTGTAAAGTGTCGAAATACTGCAAATCATATTTGCAAGGGACTACAAGCATGACTGAAACTATCAATAATATAAACAGTAGGTTAATGAAACGGCGAGGTTTGACGACTAGCAATATTCTTCTTGCTAAAAGACTATTGTTTACTTGAATCATTTGTTACAAATAAGCAGGATGCAGAACGAAAGAAATGATTAAATAGTTAATCTTGTTATATATAAGGTTTTTTTTTCCCTGTTTATATTGCTGGCTGTGGTTTCGCTAGATAATAGATAGGGACAGTGGAAATCTCGTTAATCCATTCCTGCACGTCACGAATTAAATGACGAGGCATTTGGCTACCTTTAAGAAGAGTCGTGGTTACTATTGCATATATAGTTTTATCTATTACTTTAGATTTTTAAAATTTTAGGAGATATTACTCAGAAATTGAAGCATTTGGGTAACGATGAAGTGCATGTAGTGTGGAGTGAGAACGATCGTCCGTATCGTCGTGATACCATTGCGACACGATTTTGTGATATACTTATCATCCTTTATCGAATGTCACATTACCTATTTCGGGTTCAAATTGAAACGCAGCGACCGCTGGAATTTGGGCCACTTTTTGACGGAGCTCATATCCATATTTGCATGCTACCACATCTAGTTCGTGATACTGTTGTAAACGCATCCCGAGCATATCGGTTATCCCAACAAGACTATGCGCGACCGCTGGAACATCGCGAAAAAGTATTCGAAGAAACGAGACGTCATCTGCATATTCCATCCCCTTCCCTTTCAATTTCTCAAACATTTGCTCTTTCACTGAATTCATATTCATTCTGAATTGTTAATAAATGTGTTTTTGAAAAATCAACAAATGTGAAAACTTTTGAAATGGCGTGAGCGGCAGTTTTTTTGTACATGTGGACTTTTATAAAGGGATATTTTTTCAGATTTTTTATGGTTAAGGGGTTGTGGTCTTTGTCTAAATGTCTTCGGCTCGGATTTTCTATTAACGTACTTACACGTAATACGTTAGCATTTTGGAGCTTCTTGTTATTTGTGTATCAGTAAGTTATTATTAGCATGCTTTTCTTGTTCTGAGTTTTGTGCAAAATTAACTGAAGCGAGAAAGGTTGCACTTTTTTCCGGAATTTCTTGCTTCGGTTTAGTTTTTTTTTTTTTCGTTTAATCGTTTGGTCCAATTTCTTGGTTGAACATCAGAATAAATCCTGCCCTCCAAAGTATTAAATCCGATTTTGCTCCCTGTCCCAACCTTATATAGGAATTTTACATTGTATTATTTTCTGGATAATTTTTAAATCGCTTCCTTTTCAAGGTTATATGCTGCTCTTATTATTACGCATCTGTGGTGAAATGTTATACTTTATACCAATTAGCCTTTGGCCATTTCTTCTTAGACAATCGCCTTTTTAACCCAGATACTATCAAATCTAGACAAAAAATTAGAAACCTAATAAATGAGTATCGTAATTGATTGTTATTTATCTTTATATCATCTTTCAGATGGATTATTATGCTTTAGAAGGGCTACAGTTAAAAGCTTTAGTTGATAAATGCGTGAAGCAAATGGTTTATTAAATTAATTTTATGTAACATTTTTTGTTGAAAACTTAAATAGGGAACTATAGGCGTTTTTTTTTTTTTTGGAATCTCTGCATCACACCTCGCAGAGAGTTAACTACTGGATAAGTTTTCACTACAGCATTATTTGTTAAATTAGTGATATTTACTATCTGAGAATATCTTCATAATGTATATTTTTTTTAATTGTAATTTCATATGACAGTTTGTTGCTGTATTATTTCAAATCATCTACTGCATGTAAGTTCGAGATACTATGTTAGCAAGCATACGCATCGGCCCTTAGTACTCTTTATACTATGTGAAATGATTGTGTAAATTTACTTTGTAGATTGCAGTGCACTTTCTTATATCATTTTCTTAATTTTAATAGATGTTGCACACCATACCTCACAAGAGACCACTGATAAGTTGTGGATCAATGTTTACCTGTGAAGCGCCTTGTGTCGATAGAGTACAGAAGGAACCATGATTGTTTGCTGAGTTTAGAAATGTGATGAATTCTTGTCGTTTTTGCTAGGTGATGCTATATTTTGCTACAAGGTTGGGAAGGTTATTTGCATGTTAGGGAGGAACATCCCCGCAACATTTAGCATTATCTAATACACGAGTCTCTCCAAGCAAATGTTCCTAACCAAATCGTGCGATTCGAATTATACTGCTGGAAAGGCCGGGAAGAACATTTTATAGTAACTTACAAAGTAGGTTATTTACGTCGAAGGTCATCACGTCGATTCACTTGTTTTCAAATTCGGGCATTTTTTTTCCAGAAAATGAATATATTGCCTAAAAAGAAGTGGCACGTGAGGACGAAGGAGAATGTTGCACGTGTACGTCGTGATCAGAAGAAAGCTAAGGAGGAAAAAGAGGTGGTGATGGGAAGAGCTCAGCTTGCAGAGCAAGAATACAAGGTTGGCTTCCTTTAGGAAAGAATAAATTTCTCGATTGGGATTTGAGCTTCCGCATAATAGACAAGATATTATGTGAAGCTATGCCTATTAAGGAATATCATCATTGTTGACGAGTGTCGTATAAACGATAATGTTAACAGTATGATTTTATCATAGAATAAAAGCCGTAAAATTTTAGAATAGAAATAATAATGAACATTATCAATCAAATATAATATTCATTTCTCATTTTTTCAATTTTTGTTATGTAGTTTCATCAACAAATTGCTACAGTTAGATATTTTAGGTAAATTTACTGCGTCAAAATGCGGAACGAATGGAGGTAATGTATAGAGATGGAAAAAGTGGAGCTGATCAGAATAACACGCAGTTCATCAACTCTTCCAGCCATATAAATCTTTTCGCTGATTTAGAAGGAGAATACCGGAAAAATTTTGGAGTAGGAAATCGAGATTATGCATTAGAGAGGAAAAAGGAACAAGAAGAATATGAGAAGAAAGTTGGCATCTTGCAGTGTCTTGGACAAGGGTCCAGTGAGTTGACGAAAGTTTGTTTCTTAAGTTTCAAGTCAAAGAGTTTCTTCATAAGAAAGCTTTAATATCTATTTTCTGATTTTTGTCTCTCCTTATGTGTTTAGAACTGTGATTTAGTTTTTCAGGAAAAGCCGTGGTATGAAAAAGTTCCAACAAAGAAGGAAGAGTTCAGAAAATCGGAAAATCGATCATGTGTTGTTAAGTTGTTCAACAAATCCGCTAGAGACACCTGTGAAAAGATAAAGAAAAGGCAGCATAAAAGGAAGTGTAAGAATAAGGAATCTCATCATAAAAAGCGCGAAAAAAAAAGCAAACACCATGATAAAAGTTCACTGGAAATATTGTCAAGTGAAGAAAAGCCGTCGACTTTAGAAGAAAATTCAAAGAAGCAGAAGTTAGAAAAGCTAAGACAGGAACGCTTGGATCGAGAAGCAAAAGAACGAAAGCGTTTAACCAATTTGTTGACGTCCTCAGGAAGCAAGGAAGAAGGAAAGGAGGGAAATGTTGCGAAATATAATTCACAATTTAATCCAGCATTAGCACGACAGAATCAAATCCGTTAAATTTGTAAAGTTTGTTTGTTAGTGCAGTGACGAGACTAATCATATAAACACTTTTCAGTCCTTTCCATTAGCGTTTTGGTGTCTCATAAAGCGAGGAATAAAACTTAAGATACCGTTATGATTACAACGTAGAGAATTGGTGCATAAGTCATGGTGAGAACACAGCCCGTGCTGTTTCCTCTTTTTTTTTTTTTTTTTCAATTTAAAATCAGTAAAACAAACATCGTCTAGAAAAAGAACGGAATGAAGAACTGTAAAAGTAAAAAATGAAATGGTTTAATTTTGATTTAAAACATCAAGATTTGATTTGCTTCGAACAAGTCAACAGTTAATAATGCCATCACCTCTTCAAGACAAATAAAAATACCGAAATACTGATACCAATAACCAATAGGATAATACTTATAACCAAGAAACGCTAACTGGTCAATGACAAAGCAGAAAACGATAAAAACAGAAACCTGATAAGAGCAAAAGAAGCAACATAATTTGACATAATTCGAAACAGTGGTTATGTTAGCAATTTATTTATGAATCTGAGAAATAAAAGTTAGCATTCCACTTCAAATTGAACAAAGTGTCAGAAATAGATCTGATACACAGCACGTAAAGTGTCAAAATAGCTCAAATAGGTACCATAAAACCAGCTGCATAAACACAAAATAGTCCTGATGTAGAGTTATAAAGCTGTGCTTACTTCATTTACGGATTTTGGAAAGTGGAGAGAGGAACATTATATAATCACCAAAAGAAAGCACAAATTATTGATAAATAATCAACCCAGTAAAATATCGGCATATAACTAACTATCCGTTTGAAGAGCTTGTTACTGACGATATTAAGTTTACTTTAATATTTTTAAGGGTATTTTGCTTTGTAGCTCTGTATTCTCCGCGTCCATTGTATAAATTATTCCCGTACTTTATGCAAGTTTCAACCTATTTTCGATGTTTTTCTCAAACAGTTACTATTTTCTAGTCAACACTTTGTGGCAGCATTTATATGTAATTCGGACAAAGTTCACTCTCTTCGCTAATACGCGGGAGCTAAATGTAAAACTAACTGTCGCTGTTTCTCTATTTGATTGGAATTGCTGAAGTCGTTCAAATGTTTGTCTATGGGAACGGCAAGTCTCCATTCAAGAACCTGAATTAAATAAATTGGTAATCTTTACACTGGTAATAGATTACAAAGTTGACTTTCGAAGGATATAAAGTGTTGTTGAAGTGGTCAGCAAGTGACTTCTTTAACAAATGTGAATGAGGTAAGGTGAGAAAAGCTAATAAATGATCTTTTATATCGGTTATTTCGAAATGGGCATAAACGATTATCCAAGCACTTCAGTTTACTTTCTTCAATCACTTCAGCCTAATATTTGTCGTTAAAAGATTTTAACTGAAGAACTAAACTGGAATCCTTAGGAAATTTTTTATTAACTTTGGATACCGTTGTGATAAAGACTGGCTGGAGAAATATGGAGGAAGAGAGAGAATCAATTTGCATATCTGGAATAAGATCACAGATAAGGTTTTCCTTGTTTAGATCGCAGAAATTAATTTCTAGCTGAATGCTGACATTTCGATGAGTCACGTGGAGGTAAGTACGGCTAGCTGCAATGATAGCATATCCTGACTGGCGCTGTTCACTTCTAATTACAGACTTGAATTTTAACGTTCGGAATATTCTTTGTATTAAGTAAATATAATCGAGAGGATATTTTTAAGTGTCGATTCTCTGTCCTTACTATTTTTCCAACTTGGCCAGACAATCTCCCAAAAATTGTTCGGCCTGTTTTCCTTTAGTGATATATTAGTATTGGTGACAATTTTGGGATGTGTATCCGATCACTGAGTTCTATTCAACGTGATGGAAAGAACTTAGTTATGTCTAATTGTTTTGAAGGGATGAGTGCCTGGATCGGTAGTTGGGGGCACCAGTTGGAAGGGTCTCAGATTTTTCTCGGTGAGTTGAATGCATAAGTCATCGGATTTAGTGGTGAGTCAAGAGTCATTCATTAGTCGCTGAACAATCTTTCATTAGCTTATTTTTCATTTTTAAATTGGTAGAGTTTGTATAAAAGAACAAAATGAGAATAATGAAAGTCAGAAAAGCTGAATTAGAAATGATATGTTAAAGTATTACGATTTCATTATCATTCGTAAAAACTATATAAAGATAATTGCTGTTTTTCAATACAAGTAGTTTCAGGATGCAAGAAAAAGTTTTAGTGGATGTGATTCCTGGTTCGCCTCTTGTTGATTCGATGATGCAAGACGGTATTTCAGAGCCACAGAAAACATTTGCTGAAACTCATCGGCAGGAGGTATTTGATGTTATCGACCTTATACCTTCGTTTGCAAGCAGTCAACGTGATACAGAAAACCGTTCTGAAAGGTTACCTTTAATCAACATTTCGCCATATATGGCGTAATCCGCATTGTGAGGTAATCCACACGTCTTTTCCTATGTTGTTGTAAATAAATCACAGTTTGTACACTTCCCGACCCTGTGAACTTTTTGATTACTGGTGTCAAAAAACATAACTACAGACTTTTGTTGTAATTTTGTTTTTGAAGATGAAGGTTATTTTAGTGATAATAGTGACTATGCAATAGTGAAGCACATTAACATTAGTGAGCTGTTGTCAAGAACTAAAGAATTTGAAAACTCATTTGCATACTTAGAGTGGAGTTGCAGAAAATTTTGGAAATATATAGGTTTATAATACCAACTTGTACTGTTCTATATAAATTTTGCTTGAAATATATGTTTGTTTTCGAGCTCTTCAGATTTCGATATCTACTTGATTTGTACCAAGAACAGCCCAGTTTGCTTGATCCTTTCATGGAAATCATGATAAATAGGTTACTGGCATATATAAAATTTCTTGACAATGGGCAGACGAAGTAAGATTTCTCATTTTGTTTGCAAAAAAAGTTTTTTTCATTGCTGTGTTTCCCAACTGATTCGTGTTATGCGAACTACAGATACTTGAACTTTCGTCATTCTTTAATTATTTAATCAATTTCATATATTGGTGTTTATATTTCATAGTTACATTTGTTGAAGATTCGACGATGTGTCAAATGTGGCATTTGCATTGCTTGCACATATATCGAAAGTTAGGGGGTACAAGGTGTTCCTTTCATTGCTACCTCACGAAGTATGTGTAACGATTATATTTAAAAACTGCTCTCATTTTTCTGGAACCATAAGAAAATATCCCTCGTTTAAAATTATCAAAAATGTCCCTAGAATCTTTTTTATTTTTCAAGGGTGTGGCTTTCTTTTCTGATTATTTTTTTTATTTCTTAATGAGTGTATGCTTGATTGATATAATTGTCCAAAATTTAAAAACAAAAATTTTTATGGTTTTGAAGATGAAATATATGGAGAAAGTACTTTCTTCACTAGAACGATATTCTGATTCTGTGATGGATATGGATTCCCGGTATATACTTCTTCTTTGGACGGTGATCTTATGCAAGAATCCATTTGATTTGAGCAAATTTGAAACCAAGAATGGTTGTAATGTACTGGAGAGAATGATCACCGTTGCACTGCCATATCTATATCTAAATACTGATAGATGTCAGGTATAACAAGAATTTTTTAGGAATTAAGATTGTCATCTTTTTAAATATTTGCTGCAGAGTTCAATTCCTTATCTACTTTTTTCTTTTTTTTTTTGAATTTTTTTGAAAAATATTTTTTCGAATTTTTTTTGAATAGAAATTTTGGCAAATAATTAAGTTTTGAAGTATTGAAAATTTTACAGCATTCTGCTGCTTTGTTACTTTCATTGGTAGTATCTCGTGAAGATGCACGCAAGAAATATTTGAAGAAGTTGATAGATCCTTGTATTTCGGCGATTGAAAACTGTGAAGGTAAATGGTCTCTTAACAATGAACTCGTTGGTAGTCTCCGTTTGCTTGCAGCAATTCTTAAAAAGGTAAAATTGCTGGTTATTTTTGATGGATTGATTAAATAATAAAGAAAGAAGTTAACAATCAAGGAACTTTGGATAATAGTACGAGAATGTAAATTTTATTCATATAATGAAATGCTGGCTTAATAATTAAAATGTTTATACGTAAATTTCTAAATTATCTATTTTATTTTGTTTCGCTTTTCTAGGGAGAACGTGAAGACTTACTGCTTATCACAGACCAGGTATTAAAAGCCTTACATCGGCTAAGTAACCTTGAAGATTCTGATTTCACTGTGAAGAAGTTAACGGTCAAAATTGTTCAAAGATTAGGAATGGTCTTTTTAAAACCAAAAGTAAGTATATATTTGCAAATCTTCAATGTTTCATTTATTTTTTCTTATAGTGAATTGCTCTGAGTTTTTATGTTTAAGATTGCAAAGTGGCGTTACAATAATGGAAACTGCAATCTGAATTTAGAAAGTGATTTTGGAAAATGTCGAGAATTAAATATTTTGGAGGTAGAAAATTTTGCAGACGAAGTTCACGAGGTCCCATATGCTAAGGTTATTACTTTTAATATTGTTTTGCCTTTACATTCGGAAAGTTGAGAAACAGTAATATAAAGGTGAGATAGGAGCATGTTTTTTGTAGGATATTATAGCTTATGTTTTTATGCAATAGTAAGGGCTAGTTAGGAAATCATTGTTTTTTATTTTTACATATATGTCACGAAGATCGAAAGGAAGAAATCTATAATGCAAAGCAGTTTGGCTGTTATCAAGAATATGACCAATTACAGATTAAAATTTTCAGCTGGAAGTAGTTCTGAATACAATTCTAGAATCATTGCGTGATCGTCATACAGATATACGTTGGGCGGGTGCAAAAGGTATTGGGCGGATTTTATCTCGTTTGCCGAAACATCTTGCAAGTGATGTACTCTGCAATATCATTAAATTTAATTTCAACTTGCACTCTGGCAATGCTGCCTGGCATGGCGGTTGTCTGGCAGTTGCTGAACTTGCAAGGCGCGGCTTTTTACCCCTTGAAAGACTTCCGGATATTATGA